AATCTTGTCGAGTCTTCAATAATCCACACACATTTGCAATGATCCATCATTTTTCTTCACAAATAAGATAGGAGCTCCTATAGGAGATTTTGAATGGCATATGAAATTCTGGACCAAGTTCTCATCAATGTACTTCTTGAGTTCAGCTTACTCATTTTCTGATAAACTATACATTGGACCAAATGGCGGATGAATTCCTTCTTTAAGATTGATTGAGCAATCATATGGGCAATGCAATAAGAGAATATCTACATTTTTTTTCTTAAAAACATCTTGAAAATCTTGATTTTGACTTAGAATTTTACTAAAAAAATTCTATCATTTAAAATAGATGTGGCATAAATAAATAAAAAAAGATGATCCTTCTTTTGCAACATGCAAAAAAGCTTTTGTACCTAAAAATACAAGTTTGGCTATATTAGACTCATACCTTTCTATTGGATTAAAAAAATCTTAATGATGTTTGAAGAAAAGTCAAGTTTACAAAAAATCCAATCTATCACAGGATTATACTTTTCTAGCAACGATAAACCTAAAATAACTGGATTAGAAGGAGATCTAATTATATTAAAAATAGCGCAACTATAATGAACATTTATTACTACATCTATAGGAAGTGTTTCATAAATAATATCTCCTAAAGATAATAGATGACTGTCTATGACTTCTATGTGTAGGGTATCATATTATGTATTGTCTTGCTCAAGAATGCACCAGGCACCTAGCTGTGGAAGGTGAGGTTGTGTTTCACAAGTATCCAAGTAATCATAATAGGTTTCACCCATACGAGAAGAATATAATCTAAATTTCAATTCAAAAGTGCTAAAAATACTCTTTTTAATAGCCTTAACCATACATAAATCCCAATTACCTTGTTACTTTTATATTTAAGCAATTTAGATTTTTCTTATAAGTCCCAATCTTAATCAGAGAGCTTTAACAAGTTGTAACATTCAATCTCACTGTCCACTTGATGTCAAATTTTTCATGCAATTGTCAATATAAGTCTTTTATATGCTTAAGAATTTTCAGCCCAATCCAACTTATAAATTGTGAAAAAACCTCCAAAAATTACATTGATGTTATTCGGCCGCCAACTTGAAAAGTGAAGCAAAAATTCCAGTAGTGATTTCTTCTTTTCAAACTATTAACTTTGACTCAAAATTGATATACAGCTTGATCTTCAAGTCCGTCAACACCATGCCAAATTTCACCTTGATATGAGTGATAGATCTCTAGATATCATAGAAACCCTACCTAACCCCAAACTACCAATTTCTGAAACCCTCTTCTATTAAAACCTAGATATCTCTAAACCATGCAATTATATTATTTCAAAATTTTGTATACAATTAGCACATCCAATAATCCAAAAAATATCAAATTTTCAATTGTAGATGTTACACCAATTGCACAAACTAGCTAAAATTGCTAGCCCTAATTATATTATATAAAATCCCAATCACCAATATAAACCTTGACTTTGAATAACAATGGCTAAGTCCTCAAAAACCTTCCAAAAACAATCCTTATGCCTTTGAAAAGAACTGTAAGCTAGCTCTCAAATCTTATCCTCTGATCTTCAAATGACATCTTATTTTGTCATAGGCCGTCATTTTAGTGGCTAAAGGTTTGATTTCGACCCTATCTCACAAACGGTCGACCCCCAGGTATCAATCTATTCCATCCTACGGTTTTTTTAGCCCAATCCTACTCTCACCTTAATTCTAGTACCAACTATACTAATTATTTATCTCTTCTAATCTAATTTGATTAATTTATGGTCTTTCTAAGGTAGTAGAAGAGTCTTTACAACCTAGAAGGTAAAATTACTAATTAACCTTCAACCTACAAACTATTAAGATAAGAAAATAACCTAAGAGGCTTTTATTAAAGCCATGTTTAGATACCTCAAATTATAATTGAACTAAGATAATTAGATATTAATTAGAAATTTAATTTTGATTATAATTTCACTATATAGTCATATTACATCACAACAATGTAGATAACATCATGAGCATTTAAACAACTTTACAACATTTTAGCAACTAACATTTACAACCACCACCATCAAGGCAATGCTTCAACAATATTGTCAATGTAAGAAAAAAATTCTTTATACAATAGTGAAGAAATAAGAATAGCATTAACAGAGTATGAAGAGCATAGAAATATTATAAAAGCATCAATAAACCATCATATTCCATACACAACTTTCAAAGAGTGGTATTATTGAATGCAATCTTTTAGGAGAAAAAAAAGGTTGAAGGGGTCCTAACTACAAAAGAAGAAAGTACGCTAATATAATACATTTTAGCCATGTATGACAAAAGCATAGGTTTCACATCTACAGCTTTGAAAATAAAGGTTTTTGAAATAACTAAGACTTGATGCATTTCATTCAAAAATAAGATTCCTAGTGATGGATGGTTGAGGTGGTTTAAAAACTATCACTCAAAGTTCACAATGAAGGTGGTACAAGTCCTTATATCTTCTAGAATAAATATACTATGTAAAAAAAAATGTACAAAGTTTCTATGATAATCCAGGTGAATTATATACAACATATGAATATCCTTCATATAAGATGTAGAACTATAATAAGTCTAATATACAAGTAGGAAATATTGATGGTCTACTTGTTATAGCTCAAAGAGGTATTTATTGAATACATTTCACTGTTCCAAATTTAAAAATAAAAAATAAAAAATAAAGGCTATTAGTGTTAGTTTGCATCAATGCAGCAAAGTTGGGCATACCATTCTTCTACATTTTTAGAAAAAAATATTTTTGATAAAACTATATAAAACATTGTGAAGCAAGTATGACTATAGCAATAGAACCCAAGGCTTGGATGACAAGTTATTTGTTTTCTTTGTAAATATCTCATTTTATTAAGAATGTGAGATAATTTAATAGCATTTCTCCTATCTAAAGGCATCTAATAATCTTTGATAGATATACGAGCCACATTGCTATTAAAGAGATAAGACTAGTATAAGATGCAGGATTAGACATTCTAATCCTATTATCTCACATATTGCATGCCATAGAGCCTTTAGATATATATGTTATTGAACTATTTAAGACCTATTTCAAGAAATGTCAAGATTATTGGATATCTAAAAATCTAAATCAATTTGTACAAAAGCAAATTTTTGTGCATTGAGTGACTTTGAGCTTGAAACATACTTTAATAGTGAATAATATCACCAAAGGTTTAAACTCTATCAAAATATTTTTGCTTGTTAGAATAGCAATAGCCAATCACATGGACCCTAATAAAACATACATGTAATCTATAGAAGAAGTTGGACAAGATAAAAATGACGCACTTGGAAATTTTCGAAGATTTAAGGCATTAACATGGAGTGAATTGGTGAAGACGTACCTACATTACTAGTTCATAATATGGCACCAAACTTAGAATTGGCTCCAAATTCCACTACTAAATATTTTTTTTCTTAATGTAAATATGTCAAATTTGAAATTAAAAATAAAATTGACTAATTAGACCTTATATGCCCTGATCTAGAATCCATAATTTGCTTCCTAACATTGCATACTATCACAAATATGTCCAATCGAAGGAAATGCAATGTAGATCTTTTAGTGGATTTTTCTAAATTATTTATACTAACCTTGAAGGCATATATGAGCATTGTGCAAGAAATCTAAGATCAAAATCTTAAACAAAAAAGAAAGAAAGAAAGAGCACAAATTCAATGAGAAGAATTGAAATACAAAAGATTAGTAGATCTAGAAGAGATGAGGATTTTAAGAAAAGTTCACCAAGTTGCAATGGCAAAAAAATTAAACTTGCAAGACTATTGAGTGGAAGGCTTTCATAAAAGAGGACACCTAAAAGGCACTTAAGTGTGATAGTTCAGCAAAAGAAAACACTCTCAAGGTGCTTGAGTGAAAAGCCTTATGCTTAGCCACATACAAAGCAATTGTATATGTAAAAGAGGCATAATTTCAAAATTTGCAAGTGCAATATGAGTTGCTTTACTAATAGTGCCTAATCCTTGAGGTTGAGTCTTATATGTTGCGGCGTACAGCAGGATTGTAAAAATTGTTGAGGTAATGTGGCATTAACATTCCTACATAGAATGCATGAGGATTTATGGCCTATGTCAAAAAGGAGAGATCCTCCACTCGATTTGCAATTGTAGAGAGGATGGTCCTCTATCCAATAATATGGTCTTGTAGGAGGATCCTCTATCCAAAGTATGGTGCTATGGTGGGATCCTCTATCTTCACCTAAAACATTGATGTAAATTCCATTTTTGGGCCAAATTGTATGCCAATACTTGAAATCCTCCTAATTTCAATTTTCCTCCATAGGAAATGCTTCTATTTTAACAACCAAGAGCACTACGCTTCTGTTCAGAAGCAAGGCACCAGCATCGGCAGATTCAGTACAACCCACAAAAACTAGCGGAATGACCACAATCCGTTAATTAATAATGAATCAAAATAAAGGAAATAAACTAAAATAATAACACGTTGGGTGTTTAGAGTTTCGAGAGGCGGTGAGGAGCAGATGAAATGTCTTACTTTGCGGGTCTCGCAAGCGGGAACCCAATTTTTCTGAGTCAGGGTGTGCAAGAATCTGCAGCAACAACGGCAGCAGAGCAGGAAACTGGCGGATTGGATCGAAGCAAACAATGGTATGTGTGCACGATTCCTGCAACGAAGTAAAAAACAAATAACAAAAAACAAAAAAACAACCACCAGGATTGGCTGCGAAGGAAGGTGTGTAGAAACAATCCACCAGGCGAAAAATTACAAAACAATTCAGGCCTTTATTCGTGGCGATGCAATTCTTGCAAAGGCGAGTAAGATTCGTGGGTGAGTGGGTGGGTTTCGGGGTGAATGGGGCCTCTCACCCAGTCCGCAGCCATCGCAAGAGTAAGAAAAAGGCAGAAAGGAAAGGAGAAACTCCCAAGATGGGGAAGCACACACGTGGTGTGGTGCCATTAGTTGGACCTCTATCCTCTCGCGCCAGGGACCAAAGGCCAGACGAGGCCTGTGCGACCACGACGCTGTGACGAGCACTGTAAGCAACTCGATCCAGACGTCGAAACCTGGTAGCAATTTTTGCAGCTGAAACCCAACGCCAGCGAAAGCATTGTGGTCGCCTTGGGTGCTGCAACAACTATGGCCATGATGGCGGAGGTGATGGCTCGAGGGAGTTCGACATTGCTCGGTTCTGCCTCGTCTGTCGTCGTTCCTTGCAAAAAGGCGCCGGCAACGCCTTTCTTAGGTAAGAATTTTTGTTTCGCAATGTACCCAGTTTCCGGATTCGTGTTGATGCGGTTGTCGCTTGGTTATCATTTCGATTGAATCTGAGTTCGGGTAGTGTTGGGAATTTGTGTCGTTGCGGCGTTGGTTTTGTTGGGGGACTGTAGGGGATTGTGCATTGCAGGATTAGGATACAATTCCAGGTAACCTGTAGTGCTCAATTCTTCCTTAAGAGCTTTAGTTTTGAGTTAGAAAAGTTCCATGACAGCCGTGCCCACTGAGACCGAACTTCTTACTGCGTTTTACTTCTCCCTTACCAATGTTGTACAGTTTAGATTGCGTGGTATGCATGGCAGTATTTTGTGGAGAAGCATAATACGTTTAAATTCTACGCTGAAGAAGTAGTTGCTCATCGCTGCCGTCAATTTTGCTGAATTTGTACGTTTGGCTATTTAGTTTCTCTGTGTGTGATCGTGGTTTCATTGATGATGTGAGTTTTGAACCAGATTTTTGGTTCCTGTCGATGTCAATTGTTGTAGGACTTGAACTTACGCCTGTAGTTTTTAAGCGGGCACAAGAAGCTACCGTGTAGTATTCAGTTGCTTGTATTGCAATGCGGTTGTGACTTATGTCTTGGAAAGTTTTGGTTTTATCACAAAGTACGTTTTCCAAGGTATCTAGTTAGGTCATGAGGCTGATTGGTGAAGGGTGCTTGAATTTCTTGTAACAGGTGCCTCATTACCCTCACTCTCGACGGGCGCACGCAAGAACAAACCTCAATGCAACCTTGCAGTGAGCGCAACCAAGGCTAGCCTGAGCGATGCTCTGAGCAAGGCCAAATCCACTGTGGGCACTGGGCTGGCCGCCTTGGCCCTCTCCGCGGCGATGAACCTCTGCCCAGCAGTCCCCTACTCGGAAGCCAGCGAGTTCAACGTCTTGAACGAAGGCCCGCCCACGGAAAACTTCGTGGTAGATGATGCCAACGTGCTCAACCGCGTCACAAAATCTGACATAAAGCGCTTGCTTCGTGACCTCGAAGAGCGCAAGGGCTACCACATTAACGTCATCACTCTGAGGAAGCTCACTAGCAAAGCTGACTCTTTTGAATTCGCCGACGCGGTAGCTCTCATTTCCCTTCTTCTGCAATTACAATCCTTCGTGCGCTGAAATTATGTGACCGCAAACTCACTCTTAAGTGAACTCTGTTACAGGTCCTGGAGAAGTGGTATCCAACTCTGGAAGAAGGTAACAACAAGGGAATCGTACTGCTCGTGACCACTCAGAAGGAGGGAGCCGTCACGGGAGGTCCGGCTTTCACGAAAGCAGTGGGCGACAAAGTCCTAGAGGCTGTCACTGCTGAGAATTTGCCCGTCTTGGCCACGGACGAGAAGTATAATGAAGCCATTTACAGCACAACCAAGCGTCTGGTGGCAGCCATCGACGGGCTCGAGGACATCGGCGGGCCTAGCTTCAAGGAGAACAAGCGGGAGTCTAACTTCAAGAGCAAAGAGGAAACAGAATCGAAGAGAGGACAGTTCTCTCTCGTCGTCGGAGGCCTGCTCGTCATTGCCTTTGTGGTGCCCATGGCACAGTACTATGCTTACGTCTCTAAGAAATAGACTCCCCAAACCACTAAGCCACTTATGGCTGCCCTCGCAAAACTGTAACATGGATATTATTCTTTAAATCTAGTTGTGTTTTGTTCTCACTCTAAGTCTTTTGTAGCCCCCCGAAGCGTGCACTGGGAATTTTACAGAGAAGGTCGAACAAATTTCAGAGTATTTTGTAACGTATGTAATGTGACGAGATTGGCGCATAATCACATCTGCTCAGATACAGTCACACAAGGTTGAAAATTTTAAAGATATTCATGCAACACTCGCACGTAGTTTACGGTTCTAAAGACTTAAAGAATACAAGAACCCAAGTTCTTAATAGATTGTCAGTTTCAAACTGCCGAAGTATCCATGTTTCTAGTGGGAATCGAGGAACACAAAAGGTTTGGAAAACTACACGATGCCTTGATGAAGCACCTTGTTAAACATACAAATTGTAACAGTTCACACCTCAGCGGATGGTAGACTATGATAATACTTTCGAAAGTCTTGCGGAGAAAGAAAAAATAATACTACCAATAAAACCTGCATGCTGAAAAAAAATCTGCAAGACTACTGCACAGAAGACAATACCCAAAAGTAAACTGATGCTCGCCGTGTGGCAAAGAATGTCGACAATGTCCTTGAATGGAAATTTGAAGCGCTACAAACATTCGAATAAGGCTACCACAATTTGTATCAGCAATCGTTGTTTGAGACAAAGTTACCAGCATTAATTCTACAGCTTCCCATTTGAATGAGCGTCGGAAATTGGCCAAGCCGTTTGCGCAACAGTAGGAAGGCTGTCAGCGTGCGGAACTTTGTCCTCGGCGACAATCTCTCGGTCCGGGACGTCCATGTCCTTCTTCGACAGATCGTTGTAGTGCAAACCCCCCGGGAAGTCTAAGAAAGCAGTCGAGGGGGCACCAGTGGCTAACCTATCCAAGATCACCACGGACCGCATCTCGCAGTTCCTGAATCCCGTTTGGATTTCTTTGCGAACGACATCGGAGCATTCCGCGCCGAACAAATGACACATGTGGAAGATGAAGCTGCTATGCGAGACAACGGCGATTCGTGACTCCGGGCGTTTCAGCAGCCATCTCACGAACCCCCTGGCCCTAGCGAAAAGCTCCTGCGAGGTCTCGCGCTTGGTCTCGTGCCACCACGTATCCTTGTCCGTCTCAACCTCAGAGAAATCCACGCCCGGAAAGCTCTTCTTGTAGAAAGAGATGTCGGATCGCCTGTCACATGGGTGCACACCGTTCTGCTCCCGGCACCATTCATTCGCGACGAATTTAAACGAATTCAGACGTGAGATGGCGGCATGCGGAGATTTTCCTAATCCGCTCGTCATGAGAGAGGACTCCTCGCTCTCGCCTTCCGGCAATGTTGGTCCGCCGAAGACTCCTGCAGCTGTTTGCAATGTGCGCAAGAGGGGGGAGACAACGACTAGCTCGACCTGAGACATGATTCCCGTTGCATCTAGATGCGCGTGAAGAGCCTCAGCTTGCTGCCACCCCAAATCTGTGAGTGACGCGTCCGTGAAGTCCCATGACATGTAACTAGAATGATCCAGCTCCCCAGCTACGTTGTGATAGCCCTGCCCATGACGCACTATATGAATAACCTTACTCCTATGCACGGGGTACATGGACACTCCGAAAGTCTCCTCCGGCGATGCTTGATCCGCAGCTGCAACTCCCGGTGCCATTGTTGACGACGATGTAACCACAAAGCAGCGACGAACGATTCGAGCAGCAGGGTTGCAAGGATAAAACGCTCCTAGGGTCAAATTTCGCCGTTCTGAAAACGGCAAAGGGATTGTTACAATGTTCTTCAAATTGGGGACCGATGCTGCACAATCGGAAACACTCGTTCCAAACCCACCGCACACCGCACGGACGCCGACCATGTCACAATGTCACTAAAATTCAAACATATCAAAAACCCACAAAGTGCAAAACAAACTCACCCACCAGAGCACCCACAACTGTCGCCACTAAATGAATAATTTTTCTCAATACACTTGTCTTGCAAAAAACAATTCATCACAAAGCCTGAGGGGAAAATCATGGACCGAACCTCCAGCTTTAGAACCCCTCCCTCTCGTATGAGGTGCGCTACGGCCTCCGATAAGCCACTACGTCAATCATCAACAGAAACCCAAAAATTATTAACAAAAAAATAAACTAAGATATCTGTCAAAACCCTGGAACACGAGAACAAGTCGAATGCTTCCAGATCGTGACGCAACGGCGTCTGGACGATGAACGACGTCTCCAGGAGAAAGATCAGGTGTGCTGGACCCGAGAGGGCAAAAGGTACGGAACTCGAAAGTCCTTGATCAATGCAAAAGATTGTGTAAAGAAGAGGCCGCGGTCCCGCGAAATCGTCAACAATTACGCTATACACGGCAATCACACTGTTGAAGATGGAATCGGGAACTGCTGCGATTGCGCCGAAGGTCGACACCGAGAAACACGAAAGCCAAGGACGTGGCGCGCGATAGTAATATCAAAGGCAGGTATATTCAACACCCGGGTCTTAACTTCAAAATTGCCTGGCCACAGCATAGACAGGGTATCTATCGAACCTCTGAATGTCGCTGGATGAAATTGTTGCTGGGGATGGATATTACCGCGGGTAGGGGTAAAACGAGCGGTAACGGACGTCGCCGAAGTAAAATGTGCTGGAGAAAGTCAAAAGTGAATGGGACTTTAAAGTATAAAGTATTAAAAGTGTTCAGAGCCATGTTTATATGGCACCATGCATCTGGAATATTCGGTAAAATGATCCCGAATATTTTTCATGCCTTATCAGTTCGGGAACAGTACAACAATTGAATACAATAAAATCTTTAAATAAGACATTAGTGCATTTCTTACTATAGAATTTTTCTATTGTAATCAAGATAACACGTTAAGAGTAGCTTCAAAAATTAATGAAATGGTAAGTTGAGAATGAAATTTGAGAGTGTACTTATATTGATGTTACTTCTGATTTTTGTCTAAGTTTTAGTTCATTCACAACAATTTTTTATAACTATGGTGATTTTTACATGGATAGATAGATGCATGAGATGTTTACTTAATAATGTCACAAGAGCTTTAAGAGCCATTAGAGCTATTGCTTACAATATCATAAAATTTTAAAATGCCACCATTCATGTTTGTTTCATTAATATATCAACTTTAGATAAATAAATACATATATATATATATATATATATAATTTAATTCATTGTATTTTTTTAATATTACTATGTTGTCATATATTTCTAGAAAGTTTTAGTATAAACTTATGGCATAAATATTTTGGCACCTCTTCTTTGCTATTTTGGTATCCTCTAGAGTTATTTATTGGCTAATTGAGAGCTCATGAATAGAAGACAAAGAAATTGATGATATCCTAAGATAATTTGAACTATGAAACAAACTAATGAGAACTCCAAACAATACCAAAATAGCCAAAGGAGCTATCAACATTAGTGGCCATAATTAAATAAGAAAACAATAGTAGAAGGAGAATAGTTTGAGAAAATTATTATTTCTTGTGACAATGTTGATGTTTAAAATACATATTCTTCTTTTGGTTTTATTTTGTGTTGTATAATAAAATATATTTGAATAAATTTGGTTTTATTCATTTGTTTATATTGGTACAAAGATTTAAAAGTGATAGAAATGGCATTCTCTTTAACATCTTGCAATCTTACAACATCCATTTATTTGACAACATTTCATTCATATTTTTCATACCACATTGTATCTTATGATATTGTTCTTTAAAAGATGTTATATCTTATCATAAATATTTAAATCTTAAATTTTGTACTATGATTTTGACTAATTTATTTGTATCACTCAAATTCCAAATTGGATCAATTCATTAATATATATATATATATATATATATATCCAAAATTAGATCATAATATTAAATTTCTTTTAGATTATAGAATTTAAAAAGTTTTTTTTAGTAGCAAGAACTTATATTTCATCCATGGCATTTAAAAATGGCTTTCTTGTGTCTTGTTCAATCCAAATTATATAGATGTGATTTTTTTAATCTACTTTTTAAAATACAAGGAATTTTTAAAATCTAATATATAAAATAGGCATGGATATTTGGTCACCCTATTTTGGCAATCAACCAATTTAGAGTGGAGAACAAGGGAACTTGTGGTAGCTCATAACATTTTACACTTACAAGCAAACTAATGAATAACTCAAAGAGGAACTAAAATAGCCGAATTAGCCTAAAGAAAGGAATTTCCTAAATATTTGAGCTCTAAATTTATTTTTAATATATTTATGGTTTTTAAAGATGTTTCGTACTGATACATAAAACACGTTTGGAAACAAAAAATTAAATTATACAAAATGACCTTCTTCTTTTTATTTATAATGACCAAACATATTAATTTATTTTAATTTGAATAGTATCAAATTGAATGTGAAAATTTGTATTGATTAAATAATAAAAATAATTATTGGGTTTCAAGTAAAAATACTTGCACAATTACAAATGCAACTTCAACATCATTGCTCATATGATAGATTGGTATGTATGTATATGTATATGTATATATATATATATATATATATTAAACTTGTTTTATATTTATCACTAATGCTAAATAATTGATTTATATTAATTATACTTTACTACTTTATTTTTGTGCATTGATTTAATATAAAATCATCAACATCATGACTAGGACAGTGTACCAAATATTTTTATTGATTTTTTATTTTATTTTATTTTATTTTTACATAAAAATGTTTCACTTAACATTATAAAGTGAAACATTATAAAAACAGTAAGCAGTATCTCTCTTTCAAATTATTACTTCTTTTTACATTGATTTCCTAAATACACCACATTTATTATATTTCTATAATCTTTTCATATAATCAATTCAAAAAATAAAATAAATATACTTGAAGAAACAAATATCATTATATATTTTTTAATTCAGTTTCTTGACATGTGAACTGATTGTAAAGCCAATTATTTTGTTGGATACATTTTTTTAAAAGCAGAAAATCTTACAATTTAGATATTCCTTTAATGCTCTTAAAAACATTATTGTAAAAATAATTTGCACAAGTTTTGTAAATTTTATAAAATTAAACATTGTCAAAGAATACATGGTGATTTGTAGAAATGTCCATGGCAATTGTTTTTAAATGAATGCGTCAATAATTTTGTATGTTTTATACAAATACAAAAAATTGTGCATACAATACACTATATTTGTATCACTCATTATAAAATCTAAAAGAAACAATTGTATTTTATCACCAACTAACTTGGTTAAAGTTGGGTTCAAAATCCTATTAACACCTAAAATATCAAAATAGCATTACTTCATTCTATGACCTAATTGCATTTAATAATGTCAATACTTTATTATATATTATTTATGATAATCTCATAATCTCCATTGGTATCGTTGTAATCACTTTTGAGATGATAATGACAAAAGATTCCTTCTTTTTTTTGTGTTGAAATTCCTTGTTGTCAATAGAAATCAATGAACGCCCATGTGAATTTGACTTCTCCAAACATGCTTATAAGAGTAAAATACTCATTTGCAATAAAGCGCTCCTAGTAGCAGTACAACCTTTTAACTTTTCAAACTCTCCCATGAGAGTATTCTAAATTCTTTCGTTGTATTATTCTAAAATCAACAATAGAAGTAAAATCATACATCCAATTTTTCTGAAATAAAGAATACTTCCATGAAATAAGAATCTCACATTGTATTATATAATGGTTAATAGAATTGAGATGTTGATCATACATTGAATTTATAAATAAATAAATAATTTTTTTTGTAGTGGTAGAAAATGTGACACGTGTTGCAATTTGGTAATTATATCATCCAAATTGTGATATATTAAACATCATACAATGCATGTGTATCTGCATATGTATGGTGAGACACCAAAATGTAAAATCACATGAATAATTGTACAAACAAATCGAATTCCATGTATTTCTTTAAAAAAAAAAAAACAAGTGACTCATCTGTTGTTCTCAACTGTATAAAAGTTTAACTTATTTAAATGATTATGATAAGCTGACAAATTCTTGAATTAAAATTTCAAAATTTCCTAGTGTGGACAAATATCCATTATATATCATATTATGTACTGTCTCCTACACAAGAAATGTACATTTAAGAACAATGATATTACTTTGTGATAATGGTTTAAAAGTAATTCTTTAAAAAACATCCCTTAACTGCAGACCCAACACACAAACGTTATCTTGTTTCATTCCTGTCAGAAAACACCCACGCTGAACACTAATGAGTGAGGTTATTCAAATGATTAAATGGTCAACCTATGTAGTCCGAACTTAATCTGAACACTTACAAACAGAACTTGATTAAAACCTTTTAAGAACAAAAATAATATCAATAAAAAAAACACTTGATAAACCTCTGAATTCATATTAAAAGGCTTCACTCATCTCAAGAGCTGTTGATTTTTCCTTGGAAACATATCACCACATCCAGGGAAGCTTTTTACCTTGCAAGTGGAACCTCACACAGGCACAAAACTCTGTCTATACCGCTCTGACCATGAACGAGTACTAATAAGATATGAAAATTAAACTGAGAGCAACATCTTAGGCAAAAACTGCACATCCGATGGAGAATTTTCTGTTTTCTGAGAACAAAATTGTTGCAAAGGTTCACCAGCAGCAAGCTGGTAACACGGTGGGAATGTTGCTCTATGGGTTTCAAATACGAGCAATAGCAGACAGAAATGTTTCTCCTGCGATGGCATCCAATTGGGTTTTCTTTTTTGTCACTCCAGCGGTGATGCGTCACTTGGTCGTGTCAGTTTCGACGGTGCCGCGCGTGGTTGAATCTTGGGTAGAAGCCCTAGAAATCTGGACTAGTGATGAGCTTTCCAGTTTCACCGAACGGTGTCTTCAGTTGAAAATGGTGTTTGCAGTTTTTTTGCCAACCTATGGGAATGTTACCCAACGTACATGCCGTAATAGTTCCATTTGGGGACGCGGAGACAGTGTGCTGTGGAAGTGTGCGGTGCACTTTCAGTTGAGGACTCATACACAGTTTCAATCTTGATTAAGCTGTGTTTTTGGGATTGTGGGCGTCAGGTAGCTTCTCATCAGCACCTCTGTGAAAGTAATTCGTTGCATGTGTGCATATCAGAACTCGACGACATTGTATTTAGTCGTGATTCGAGAACTCGGAGGTGTCGATCGTGTGGACACGTAATGGCGGAGCTTCAACAGGGAGTTAGGGTCAAGCAATGAACCTTTGCGTAAAAATGCATTTGTAACAACTTGGGAAAGATTTAAGCAGAGGTGAAGCATCAAAACCTCAAGGGAAGACCGAAGGCTGAGGTCATGAAATCAAATGTAGCATTGTAACTTCATGGACACAGCGGCTTCTGCAATCTGCGCCGATGTTTTGTGCAGTTTTCGATGACTTTTAGGGCTTGAACCTTGTCGCGGTCTTCAAAGCTCCACAACGTCATGCCCCTTGTGGCAAGCTATGGAGCCGGCGGTGCAGAAGCCAGATTCGCTATTGTATGTGTAGTTTAGAAACACAAACACCGCTTGCCCCTTCAAAAATACTTATCTGTATGTACAGTTTTTGCTTCCTGGTAAGCATACCCAATTTCTTAAAAACCTTCTTTAGGTGAAACTTCTGATGTGCACGCACGCCTTCCTCATGGACGCTAACCGATCATCAGCCTCTGATCACGTATCACGTTCTTCCCTGGGTTCTTCACTGTGCCTCACATCTAACCAGACGCATCGGCCTTATTGCCCACTTTCCTAAAGGAACAAGAAAAGTCTGAAGCCCTCTGTGAATCCTCTTCTTTCTATATTTAGTCATTTTGATTTTCTCCCCTTTCTCCAACAAACTGGACTTTATCGCACTTTGACCCACAAAATAAGTACACCTGACCCGATATTGGGACATGCTGAGAATGAAAGAGGTGCAGAACATAGCTTGCGGCTCAATGTCGTCAATATGCTCCGACAGAGTGACTGTGTTGCCACAGTCCGAGTTCCCGGGGTCACCATTTCCCACCTGCAAGCTTTAAAACGAGTCAGGTAGCAACGGAATGGTAGCCGTGCGGGGCTAAAACTCGATTAGAGTCAACAAGAGTTTCGCGAGGTCTTCGACAAGAAGAGGGAACTGACGCCATAGCGGCATCTGCAATACCCTCCGATGAACGACACAGATAGTGCTGGATATTTACACCTGGAGTTCATAGAATTGGCCTTTATCTTTTCATTCACTACAATCGCCACACCTTTCCAGGGATGTCTGATCTTGCCACCCCGAGAAGGAATTGAATCATGACTTGAATAAGGAATTGAGTCCTGAATTGTGGCGTACCGTGATCAGCTCTACTATAATCATGGTTAATTATTGTAATTATTGTCAATTGGTCGCCTGTATCCATTGTAGAAGCTAAGGAGGATTTCATTTCCTAGTTTTCTTATTTTCGTTTCACACGATAATCTGAGTCTGTTTGTGTATAGATATTTTCAGTCATTTCCTCCAACCACGAGTGATGCTTGCAGAGAGCACCTTCCATCCACTCCCAACTCCAATCTGCAATTGATTTTGTTGCATGTTTATGTTTTAGGCTGGGCTTTCGGTCTGTTCATGTGTAATTGTTTGATTAACGTGTGCTCTGGTTCTGTATTCAATGAACTCCATAGCTCGGCCATCTTTATGCCACGGTCTAGGTTTTCACACATCCTTGCACTCTCGAAACTCCTTGCATTTTAGAAACGCAGACTTCGCAGTCAATTTGAGCTTCTGTAGAAATTTTGTTCCAGGAGTTCCTCCATCGTTTCCTGTGAGACATCGGCGGAGTCCTGGCATTTTTAGAACCATCCAATTTCGAGTCGCTAGTGCGGAGCAAGCTAATACCGAGGATGGGGACGGAGCTCCTCAGGGTGGTCGCTCAAGAAAAAACGCTCAGCTGGAGAGATGGGCGCGAGCTAGAAGGATCCGGTCAGGGACTAGGAAAGTAGTAGAGACGAGAAAAGTGTCGGATTCCGTCACCGAGCTGGTTTTGGTAAGGGACCCTCCTCAATCTGCTGTGCCTGATTACGAGAGCGACGATGAAGAGTACGAGGTTCAAGGGAAGGAGGTGTACATGATTTCCGATGGCACTGGGTGGACCTTGGAGCATGCCGCACAAGCAGCCTTGGGGCAGTTCGAGCATTGTTTGGTGGATCGAGCATGCTCTGTGAATACTCATCTCTTCTCTCAGGTATTACCCTCACCTTCACGCAATCCTTGACCACTCCTCTGCGTTGGCTGCTTCTTGACTAGGTTCCTTGATAATTAGGGTTCGCTTTGCAGATCACTGAGGTGGATAGGCTGATGGAGATTATCCGGCAAGGAGCGCAGGAGGAGGCATTGGTTCTCTATACGCTCGCCGACCCACAAATGGCAGAGGCTGCTCAGAAAGCTTGCGAGGTATCATGAGTCATACCTCGTCGAATCTTTTTCCTGCACCTTGTAAATTTCTTACTAGCTTGCGTGGATTCCAATTCGGAGAACTCGTTCAATTTTCCACATGCAGATGCTTCATGTGCCGCACGTCAACGTCCTGGGGCCGATCACCGACGCATTGCAATCCCACTTAGGAGTGACCCCATCAGGCATCCCACGAGGTGCCCCGGGCCGGAAGAGCACCCTCTCGAAGCAATATTTCAAGCGCATCGAGGCAGTGGAGTTCACCATCCGGCAGGACGATGGCGCATTACCGAAGAACATCATCAACGCTGACATCGTCTTGACCGGCGTCTCCCGCACCAGCAAAACGCCTCTCTCCACATACATGGCGCAAAAGGGTTACAAAGTGAATTCCCTTTCTCTAAACACACCCTTCCATATTGATTCCCCCTTTACCAAACTCTAATCTTGTGAATTTTACAAATCAGTGCCTGTCGAATCGGTTCTTTGAGACTCAACTCTCTGCAACTCTGTACAGGTCGCGAATGTGCCTCTGGTGCTGGGCATCGATCCGCCCAAGGAACTCTTCGAGGTGGATCAGGACAAGGTTTTCGGCTTGACCATCAATCCGAGCTATCTCAAGTCCATCCGGCTGGCGCGCTCCCGAACACTAGGCATGGTGAGAAACACCAGGACTTCCTACGCAGACATGGAACACATCCGCAAGGAGCTCGAGTACAGTCGGCAGCTGTTTCTGGAGAATCCTCGATGGCCTGTCGTTGGTAAATCCTGTCGAGACTGTGGACCTCCATCGACATAGCCCAACTGCCCTCATCGTTTTTTGCAACTCTCTTCATTTTTCTGATGTGCAATTCATTTCAGTTGGGGGCTTTTGAATCATCCATCTCATACTCATCCTCTTCCTGAAATTGCAGAGGTAACTGGGAAGGCGATTGAGGAGACGGCGGCGGTGATCCTGAGGATATTTCACGAGCGACGAAGCAAGCACCTCATGCCGAGGATCTCACGTCGGTACTGAGCGTGGACGAATGTTGTATTTCACATAGCTACATTCTTGTAGTTTTGAATTCATATATTGCACTAGAAACTAATATGTATTACATTAGGTTTACCCATTACATAATTATTTTGGTTTACTAACACTTACACATAAAGGTGTAACCTTAAGTCTATGAAACATTTACTAGTTGTGTGTACATATTTCTTTGTACATATTTGGTTTAATACTCCTTGCCTTAATAGTCCTTGCTTTTAAGTATGTATATTGAATTTAGCTAAAAAGTGACTACTTAAATCTTATGCTTAATTAGCTTGAGTTTGATTTTAGAATATTTCAAAGACCACAAATTAATTTAAAAGAAGTATTTTGTGATTTATGATTTTGTGCAACATCAATGGTGGAAATTGATAATAGCAATGGTTTATTTGTGATTTTATCTAACAATGGTGGAAATTGATAATAGCAATGGTTTATTTGTGATTTTGTCTAACAATGGTGGTGGGAAGTGGTAGTAGCAATAGTTTACATGTGATTTTAGTAATAGTGATGGTAGAAAGTGTTGTAATTGTCTTTTACCACCAATTTGGAAGAAGGCTTAAAATGCATGGAGAGAAGTTGTGTGAGGAACAAGGTTTTAAACATGTATTTGGGGGTTCTTAGAGAAGGAGGGGCACAACATTTTCGCAAGCACTCTCTTGATGGGGCTTGAATTAGTGCCAAAACAACATAATTAACAATAATTTTAGGCTTTCCAATACTTTCTAACAAGATGTAGTTGTTATTTTTACAATAAAGAGTTATAGCAGCAATTGTTTTTGAATTGTTCTTGTTATTGAATCTCTCAATGTTAATTGCTCTAAAAAAAACAGTGAAAGAATATGTTTGACATATACCAAAAGGATGGAAATAATTAGAGCCTTGGAAAAATCAAAGCTTCTATCAATGCAGTTGCTTAAAAATTTAAATGGATTAAGCAAAAAGACTATTTATGATATGTCGAAGAAGAAAGGTGAAATAAAATTCTGTATTTTGTTTAGTTTTTAAAAAATTCAAAATAAAATATTCAGAATTTCAAAGCCCAAATATCAAGCTCTTGAAGAACAACTTTTTTTTTGTGGATTTAAGCAATTTGATGATTAAAATAGATATGCTACTATTTCTTGTAATTTCCAAAGCAATAAATCTTATAATTGAAATGGGATTACATGGTAGTATGGGAGGTTGAAGATGCTTTTAAAAATTTAAGAATTGAAGAGAACTTTGCTCAATGCTTCTAAAAATGAAAGTATTGAAATTCATAAAGACAATCTATATTTTCAAAATGTTTTGGACAAACTTTGTGATGTCATTAGAGAATACAAACTAAAAAAAATTTATAATATGGTTAAGATTAGATTGTATTGAAGACTTCTTTTCAAGTGCTCTATTTTATTTCCTACAACAAATAAATCAACTATATATGATTAAAAAAAATCCAAAGGCATACTAAATTTAGTCATTTATAATTATGCAATTGATTATCTTAAGTTGCAATGTAAAATGATTAAAAAAACAATGACAATAACATGCATTGTAAGACATATTTGACAAATTTCTTATTTCTTATTTTTTATTTTTAAAAAAAACTTAAATAGATAGAATCTTGTTTAATTTTTACTTTAATAATGTCTTTATACTTAAAATTAAAAAAATGATAAGCATGAAAGTTCTCTTGTTATTAAAAAATATTCTTGTGCATAATAAAACATTTAAGAAAAATAGAATTAAAGTGTTTTTTTTTCTTCGAAATGAAACATTGTAGAAGCAACCAATTGATATAGGAATCATTGTAGTGCTAAAGAAATGCTATAAGTATAGTTTGGTGAAGGATTTGTTTAGACTTATATGGCTTACTTAATAAAATGAAAAGAGCATTTAAATCTCAATCATAAATAATGAGACAAATAAATACTAGCATTAGACAATGATAACTTATTAATTTTTTAAATATTGCAAAATATGCTATAAGTGCTTAAAATAAAACAACACCAAAAACTATTTCAAATTTCTATAAAAAAACAAACATGATCAAACAATAGAAAATATTCAATATTAGTTTGTTAGAACAAATAGTAGATCCCAAAGTTGATATACTTGTCATCACAGATATACATATGTATTCTAATAAATACATATATAATTAGATAGAAGTATAAATAAATAAATAAAAGTAGGTTATTTCATAAGACCTTCTAGAAAAGCTTCTTTAGAAGCTTCATAGATGATGCTTTGACTTTGCATGTATTTATAGTTGATTGGTAAATTAAAAACTTAGTCAACAAGTTAACCTCGTATTAGTAGCTTGCGAAACAAGCTAACTATATGGTGTACATATAAAAACTTGCCTTTCAAGTTAAGATATGTGTCTTGCAAAGTCAACACATTTTGGAGGTCCTATAGGACATTGCTACATAGTTCCTAGTTCAGAGTATATGTGGAGGCAAGAGTGAAGCCTTTTTCACTCTTCTCAACGCCTTTCTAGTCTTTAGTCTTCTTCCAAGACTTTTTAGTCTTCTTATTTTTTGCAATAATCATTCTAATTTAATATTATATTATCTTTGAATGACTTTTTATTTCTTTTTAGTGAAATAATAGTGTATTGAAGATTTCTTTCTTTGACATTCATATCTTTGATAATTTGACAAGAATATTACCTTTTATTATTATTTTTATTTTATTTTATTTTAAAAATAAGTGGATTACTTCACTTCTATTATTATGTTTTGAAGGTTACAGATTACCTACTCTTAAATAAATAATCTTATTTTCTAACACAAATTTTTTTCTTAAAGAGAGAGTAGATTATCTTTCTTTGTAGAAATTTTTATTTGATATGAGAGGTTGTGGATTACCCTCTTTTAATTAAACTTTTTAAAATTATTTGAGTTATCAATGGAAGGAAACATTATGGATGTTATTCTCAACAAAAATGAGAATAGATTTGCAACTATTGTAGATCTTCAATATTTTAAGAGTAAATTTTTTATATATTTTCAACGTGAATTATGGAGGTATTATTCCTATGCCTATGGAAGAAGTTCAAATTTTGCATAAAGAAATTATACTATTAAAAGAAACAAGTAGATCAACTTTACAACCAATTCTAGGAAGTTTTGCTGCTATAAATATGACAAGAATAAGGATTAGTATGCCTGAGAAGTTTTATGAAACAAGATCAAAATTTTGAGTATTTTTGCAACGAGTTAAGCTTTATCTAATATTGCATTTTTTCCAATATCTTGATGAATTTATTCAAGTCGGATTCATATGCGCACTTCTATCAAGAAGTGCTCTCTCTTAGTTTGCACATTTAATGGAATAAGATTCACAACTTCTTTATTATTTGAATTCATTTCTAGAAATATTTAGGGCTACATTTAGAGAAAAAGATTGAGAAAGAATAATAGAAGTTAAGCTCTTATCTTTACAGCAAAGATTATGGCCAACTACCATATATGCTACTAAATTCCAAAATCTTGCTTGCGACATGGACTAAAATGAAAAAGCCTTTATCAATCAATTTTAATATGGATTAAAGAATAATATCAAAGATTTATTATCAACAATGTCAAAGGCAAAACCTTTGGAACAATTTATTGCTCGAGCCATTGCATGCGACAATTGATTATTTAAAAGACATCAAGAACAAAGACTTGGTTGGAGAAGAATAAGTCAAATTATAACAACAGCTTTCAAAAACTCATTCATCAAAGCTAGAATCAATATAAATTAATACAATATATTTTAAATCCTTCACAAAATAGAAAAAGACTCAACAACATCAAAACGGCTTATGCTTATATTGCGAAGAAGCTAAGCACACTGTTCAACATTGTCCAAAGAAACAATGCAATTATAAAATGAGAATCATGGTTGCTAAAAAAGACAATGTATTAAAAAATAAGTTTTTTTTAGCTATAATAGGAATTATGCAGCTAAAATCTTGCATAATTCTTAGTAAAGATTTTATTCTTTTCTGAGACTCTTCACCTTGTTTTACAATAGAAGTTTATTTAAGACCAAAAAATCACAAAGTCTTAGTTTTATTAGATTTAAGAATCTCGGCTTGTTTTATAGACAAAGATTTTTTCAAAAAATAAGAGATATTGTTAGTAAAAAAAACTAAATCTATACATGTAGAAGTCATAGATGGTCATTTGCTATCTTTTGGAGATGAATGCATGAAACTGTTCCTTTAGATGTAGCAATTAAAGATTATAATAATATAATAATATATAATGTAATAAGATCTTTGTCGAATTTTTTTAATTTAAGATTATCTTAGTTAAAAAAATATAATCCTTTGATAGATTGGATTTTTTGTAACCTTAATTTTTTTAATAGTTTAATCCAAAATCTTGTTAGTCAAATAAAAATACATAAGTATAATATATCCAAATCCTTGTTGATAGGTGCAAGAGCTTTTATGCATGTTGCAAAAAAAAACTCATCTTTTGATATATATGCCATGCTCATTTTTGATGGTCATAAGACGTCAAGTAATATTCCTAGCCAATAGCAAGATTTCTAGGACATTTTTAAAAAAAAATATAGATATTCTTCCAAAGCATTGTTCTTATGATTATTCCATTAATCTTCAAAAAATACCTCAACCACAATTTGGACCAATCTAAAGCCTATTACAAAATAAGTTGATTGTAAAAAATAAAAAAAAAAAAAAAAAAGATTTTTGCGGATATATATAGACTATTAAGAACCCAACAAGATCACCACTAAGAATATGTATCATCTATTTTTTATTTTAGAAATTTTTAATCAACTCAATCAAGCAAAGATCTATACAAAAATAGATCTACAAAGAGCATATAATTTGGTACACCTAATAAATGATGTCTTTTGTGGATTTCTTCATAATTTTATTATTTGTTATTTATATAATATCTTAATTTATTCTAAGAATAGAAAAAAGCATGAAATTCATATTTGTTGTGTATTACAAAAACTTAGAGATGTAGGATTATATGCCAAGTTAAAAAAGTGTATATTCCACACTACTCAAGTTGACTTTTTAAGTTATATTATTTTGAATAAAAGATTAATGATGGATCCAAAGAAGATCTAAACTATCATGGATTAAAAGATTCTAAGAACAGTAAGAGATGTATAATGTTTTTTGGGCTTTATTAATTAATATTGGATCTTCATCAAGAATTTTTTTCAAGTTGCAACTCTACTTATATATTTGACTTCTAAACACAAATTTGAGTGGAGTAAAAAAACCAAAATATTGTTCAATGCTTTACAAAGGGATTTTACTTTTCTACCAATCTTATATTATATTGACTTACTCAAGGTATTTTTTATCGAAAAAAATGC